TAATATACTACACACACACACACACACACACACACACACACACACACACAAAACACACACATTAATTAGTATATATGACTTAAAACTCACAGATATATATAAATCAATTGTTTCCTTATATAAATAGATATAACATCACCATCCAAAAAATTACTTGGGTCAGAAACTTCTGATTCTCAACGGCATAATTCATCAGTTAAACACGTAAGTATATTTACAATTACTCATATTATTTCTATTTTCTTTTTTCTCTTCTATTATTTTTTTGCTAAGAGAGAATTATCATTATTTTACAGCTATATTTTATAGCTAAATTTATTCTTTCTTACTTAAGTTGAAACTTTATAATAGGAATTTGATCAAATAAACATATTTGAATAGATTGTTCAGGTATTTGAGATTTTGCTAAACTGCTTAATAATCTATTAGTGAATTATATTGCAATATTTCTAATGTATCTACAGTGACACTTTCCCTATACATTACAATAATTTTTTATTTGGAAAACATCTTGTGATTCATTGCTTTTTATGCATAATGAAAAGATTAAAAAAATAATTATTTTTGTTAAAATAAATTGACTTTTTATTTTTATAAATTTTTATTAAATTATTTGTCTATGATATAACGATATCTTATTTTTTTCAATTCTGAGAAAACTAATATATGTAAAAGTACATATATATCTGTACACAGAAAAATTGTACATCTTTTGATGGTGTCACCATGAATTCTGTAAAGGAAAGAGATAAGAGCTACAAACGCAAATCTTACTTAAATAGATCACATCATGTAGAGACGGCGTCTGTTGATCATTTAAGTGAAGGTAAAAACTTAACTTAAGTATATTTGCAACCCAAGTTTGTTTATATTAAGTTGTAATAACAAGAGAAAAATTAATTTATTAAAATATTGAAAAGAATCTAATGTGTGATAGTAATATTTTGTTATTTTTTTATATTGTAAAAATTTATATTTTTATAGCTATAAAAAAATGTTTCGTTTTTTTATCAACAATGCATATAAATTCATTGGTTCTTTTATTATTCTTGTAAAAAGGATTTTTTATATTTAATGTATGATTTACAGTAGTACTTCTAATGTCGGACGAGTTTTACTTGTAAAATGTTCTCAACTTGCATCAGACACTTGCTTTTTTCAATGGACCATTAAAATTTTTAGTCGAATCTAGTGAGAAACAGTCCAGAAGGCAATACGTTAAACGAAGTCAGCTCTCTGAAACGGTATCGAATTCTGCTGACTCCTATCGTCAAGTGGCCAGTCTGCGCAGAAAACATATCGATTCGAAAGCTGGAACTCAGTACAGCATCACGAAAAATCTTTCTAAAACTTATTCATCATCTTCCGTCGTGCCTATCACAAATACAAAGCGATCGATTGTGCAGCAATCTAGGTACATATAATACATATGTATTGAGAACAATATAAGTCAAATATTAGATTCTTATAGATCTTATTAATATGTCTTTATTTTATTTTTTATTAGTATAATTTATATTTAATTAAAAATAATAGTATGGGAGAGAATAACTAGTATTAGAAGAGGGTGATTTTTGTTTTTCGATAGTAGCGGTATAGGTGATTCAGAGGTTTCACGCAGAGTGGACGAGTTAACAGCATTAACGCGAGCCACTATGGAACGCGTGGAAAGACTCGCATCTGCAACTACGAGCTGCGCTAATCATACGACCGAGGATGTGCGTATTGTTGCCGAGAAAGCGTTAGTGTCGCCAAAAAAATGTATTACCTCTAGGCATACTCCAGTTTCAATTCTCAAACATAAAGCGATCGAGGGAGAAGGAGGTGACCGTCAAATATCGTCTGGTGGTTCTCCTCACGCTTCGTCACCGGTAACCTTTTCGCCATCTGTCACGGAACCTGTCTCTCGCAAGAAACACGGTATATTGAAAAAACGGAGCAGCTTAGATGAAAGCGAAATATTACGTCGTCGTAGCTGTTCTCCCGATGTTTCCTTCGCTGATAACATCTATTCAGATTTTCGGCCAATCTTGAAAAATCAAAGACGGTCATCATTAGATGAGATCGTCAAGAGAGATCAGAGTCCCGATCAACAACCCGCTTCCATATTGAAACGTAAATCGTCTAGAGAAGATGACAGGGAAATTCATCGATCATCGTTAGGATCTCCGGAACCGCAAAGTATCCTCAAACGAAAACTCGCAAATAGCGTGCGCGCCAACAGCGTTAGTCTTCACGTAACAATTGCATCGGATCTCGTTAGCACGAATGCTAGCGGAAATACGATTGCCAAAGTGAATACGACCCTTGGATCTGAAAATTTCGAGGGCTCCGAAGTGAGACCGATATTAAAGAAAAAATATGGCAAGGAGGAATTCGCCGGGGGTGACATTTCGTCTCACGAGCCTCGACCTATATTAAAAAAGAAATCGAGTACCGAATCGGACGAACATGAGCACGACAGGCCAAAGAAAACGATTCTAAAGTCCTCGCGGAAAAATTCATACGAAGAGGGTGGTTACGAGACGGAAACGACTTCACCGAGGAAATTGTCCGTATTGAAAAATCGAGCGAGCGAGATCGAGATCGAGAATGTACGACCTATATTGAAACAGTCCAGCGGCAGTCGTTACCACGACGATGCGCATGATTTAACGGCAGACTCATTTTTGCGAAAGAGAGCGCAATCTGTAAGCCATGCGCGATCCGCTAACGGCGATGACTGCATCGAGTCGATTCGGGTCTTAGCTAAAAGAAGATCTCTCGAATCCAGTTCGCCGATTGATGTGTTGCATACTCCGGCGACGACACGTCGCTGTTTCATGACCGAACGATCTAGTGAAATTTCCTACGCAGCAAATAGGTATGTTTAAATCTCAATACCTCAGGATAAAAGAATGATAATCATTAACATCAAATACTCCGTATAATCAGCTTTGGTGCAATAATATCAGATGCATTTGTTTCATAAGGATTTTACGCGGTGACTCATTGTTTTTTTTTCTTCTCTTTATAGAATATACAAATTATATAAAAGTATCATTTCCTGTATCAACTTTTGATAGAGAAAAGTCTTAGAAAAATTGCAGTATCATTTTAATGTAATTAATTTATAAATTACCTATTTATTTATTATATAAATAATTATTAAAATTATTATTTATGTAATAAATAATTAATGAGTGAGAAAGTTCTTTGGCTGGTTTCCAATCTTAGTAGGAAATCTGTTTTAATTAAATAAAAAGAATTTATAATTTTTTATTTTTTAAAAATTGCATATTTATATAATTATATAATTTCTCTAAATTTTTATATTAAGTAGAACATTAACAGATTCTAGATGATATTTGCTTTATTAAAAAATCCATTTTAGCTAATGCATCCTAGCATTGCATGTTTCAACACATCCAATTATTTGTTTATGCAAATGAGATTTCAGTTTATAATTTCCTTCACTTTGAAAAAAAAATTACGATTAAATTGTAACTTCTACACACACACATACACACACACAAGAAACACACACAGAATTTATTCTATGGTGCAACATTAACCTTTTGTAATTACTGCAATGATATATGAGTTTAGTGGGGCTTTGATTCCGTGCCAAGTTTAATTATAGATCATCTAGCGATTCTCAAAGCTACCAGAAATTGGAGATAGTCGTGTGCAACGTATTTATGAATAAATATCTCGCGACACCCTAATTTATTTTAAAAAATCAAACAAGTTTATCATAAGTTATTAACCGTACCAATGCATCATACACATATATTTCTTACAGCTCTGGTGTAATTAAAGATAGCAAGCTATCGTGCGAGGGATCCAGTAAAATTAAGCAAGTTGATATGAACGATATGGAGGAGAAAAGTAAGACAGATTCACATATAAATTTCATGAAGATCGATGACGACCGAGATGCGATAGAAATTCTCACTCGAATGAATGATAAGAAGAAAGAAACAGTAGAAGAGGAAAAACGGCAGAATGCGCAAGGTGTTTATGAGGATTGCGTCGCTGTTTGTCGTAGTAACAGCGTATCGAAAATGACCCAACATTTTAAGGTTTTACAAGAGAGGGCAAATGCCGCGGCAGCGGAAAACAATTCTCAATATATACCTCCGCAGAGATTGTCGCGTGGTATTCAGCGTTATCGCGAACGCAAAGTACAGAGCGGCGAGAGATTTAATACGCAACCAGTAACTTTTCAAGAAGTTCGCGAAGCGGTTTTACAAAATCAACGAAATGCCGCGACGAGCAATGCGGGAACGACCGATAACGAGCCGGAACCGTCCAAGCTCAGCTTGACCGAACGCGTTCGACTTTTCAATCAAAAGTTCGCGAATGCGGAAATCGCTGCGACTGGCACCGAGTATCAGGAAAAGTTTACTCAAAAAAGGCGACAGTCTACTCGTTATAAAACGCAGCCTGTAACATCCGAGGAGGTTGAAGTGGCATCCCGGATATCGCCATTGAACATAAATCAAATCCAAATGTCGGTAGAAGGTACGTATTTGATCATGCATTATTTGTAATCTAAAAAAGTCAAATCAAAATTTATGTAATAATGAACATTCGATGCCTTTCAGGACGCTTAAAAGAAAATCAAAGACCGCTTCATTCGTTTGCAACAACGTCTCAGTATGACGTACCAAAAAGTATTCTAAAATCATCTACTGCTTATACGCAAAATCTGTTGTGTGCCAAAAGTCCGGAACTCCGAGGTATAAAATTGATAAAATCTGTGCTTAAGAGAGAATCCGAAGAATCGGAGCAACCGACGATCTTGCCGAATTCTGAGGTGCATCCACGTTCTATTCTAAAAAGTAATTCTTATTCGAGGCCTGTCCAGACAACGAGCGTTGTTGACGCAGCGATATCGAGAAGCGAGCGAAGCTTGCATAGCGTAGAGAGTCAAAATCTGTGCAGCGAAACTGCTAAATTTTGCGAGAAATTTAATTGTTTCAATATAGCGACTAATATGACGCGAAATAGTTTGAGAGATCCTTGCTATGAGATACGAACAATCGCTTCTAAGCAAAGCGACATGGAAAACGAAGCCGCAGTGCCTTCCCATAAAGCTGTATTATTTCAAAATGAAGAAATTTTATCGGTTGACGCGGATAATTGTAAAATCGATACAATAGGGTCGAGTAGTACATTAGGAAGACGCAGCGATGAAAGGCATAACAATTCGTTAGTGGACAAACCGAATCGAGTGTCAAACACCAACGACGACAATAACGACGATGACAATAAAAATGACAAAAGTAACGACGAGAATAATGACGAGGACAACGAAAAGTTGATGGCGAAAGTAAAGGTGAAGGTGAAGCAGGACAATGGTGAGGACGATCACGCATCGTCTTCCGACAGTCATGAGATACGCAATACTAATGAGAAGCATTCTAACGTCGCGCAATGTTCCATTAATTTGTTGGCCAAGAGTGTTAGTCAACATTCTTTAAGTGATGAGAGATGGAAACAACGTGGCGTACCGCTACCGGGATTGTGTCGCAGCGCGACACAGGTAATAGCATCAATTGAAACGAACGAGACACCGAGCGTGAGTATTGCCGATCGGTTGGCTGCTTTACGTCATAGCGGTAGCACAAACTGGAAACGACGCGTAGCCGGTGTCAAGACTGACGAATCGTGCGACGACTCGTCACTCAACTTGGAGGAGAATATGACAGTTAAGTCAGGTGCACTAGCTGACTGCATCGAGAAGCTGGAATCTGCCGTGGAAAACTGGAAGACCAGAATCGTAACACCTGACGCAATTAATTTTACCGTTGCTGGCAAAATGAAAATAGCTCCAACGAAAGATGCTAGTTCGCCGTTTTTCACAGAAGCCACGGCGAGTGGTTCAAACCAAAAGAAGAAAGTTCCACGTCCGCAGTGTTTCAAGATGAGGAATGATAATGGTGAATTTTTTCCTACATTCGAATTATTGAAAAGATTTTTTTCATGTAAAGATTTCATGTAAAGATTTTTTTCATAAAAATTTAAACTATTTCAATTTTTTTTCTGTTTATCAAAAGTTTTATCAAAGACATAGGTTGTATTTTAGAGAAAATTTAATATTTAGAGAAAATTTTATATATTTAAAATATGTCTAGGGGATATTTTAAAGATTTAACTAATTTAGCTTTTTAGATATTGCTATGAGTGCAATATTCTTTAGACGTTGAGGATTACTTGAATAATAATATCATCACACATAGCCTAAGCATTTTTGAGATTTAATTAATAAAAAATATTTAATTTTAAAATACCTAATTTTTGCTTTGCATTAAAATAGAAGAAAACAATCGTTAAGTGTCAGCATCTTTTCAGAGAGTGATAATGACGTGATATCGACTCCTACCAGTCCGTGCAAAGATTTATCTTCTGCGATGCGCACGAGTTTTTCTGAACCTGTTAGCGATGACAGCGGTTGGTACTGATTTTCGTCAAAATCGCGTTACGCTTTTCATCTTGCCGGTGACCCGCGCTGTCCCAAAGAGAGGAATATACGATGCTGATAGAGGAATATACGAAAACTTTTGTGAATTGTAATATCTTCGTTTAGCTTCAATAAAATTGCCACACTGTGCTGTATAATATCTTGTGGGACAGCTCGTGGTGAGCTCGCGATATCCTAATTAAATATTCGAATGAACGTGCAGTTTTTTTTTGTAATTTACGTAAACGTGCTAAAGACTTTTATTTAGTGAAATTAGTTTATTGTAACTTATAGGTGAAGAATGTAAAACGGAACATGGCTTGTCACCGAGTGTTTCGGTACCTAAAATGGACGATGAAACATTCACCTCGTTCTTTAGTGGTGTATCGCTGGAAAAATGCGAAACCGAATGTCTTGACTTAGATGAAAGCGACTTCGATATAATCACGCCACAATCAGAATTGTAAATTTTCATTTTTACATTACTACTTATAATACTTGTAAAATGAAGAAGAGAGATAAAAGAGAGAAGAGAATGAAATAATAAAATAATCGAGTCAGAGAATTAGGCTATTTAAAATGTTGATATGTGTATGTATCACAACTATTCTAAATAATTCTAAATAATTCTAAACCATTTTCTCGACAGATTAGTACAAAAGCGGAACATACGAACGCAACGTCGACGAGTCACCTCGAAAAATCCTCTTAAAGTTCTCGCGGCACGGACTGATATAAGATCAGAATACACGGAAATTCGCACGGATATAGCTGCGAGAACGATACAGAGCTTGAATATAGGGAATTGTGAGTATATCCATTTTTCTACTACATCCTATCTCGCCTTAATCTCACATTTTAAATTAATGACATAGGTTTTACATATTTTTAGTTGTAATTAAGACTTAAATCTTTCTATATTATTCTAGTCGTCAAAAACTCATCTTTTGCCATCGAGGCTCTTGCCGGATTGGCTTCTACTGAAGATTTTAGCACAGTAACTTTGAGAAATGTGTCAGAAACG